CTTAAAGGGCGACCGCCTTCGTCCTGGGGCAGATATTATCCTACTTTATACTAATCCTTTATATTGCCTCAGTTAGTCCCAGTCAACTACTAGTCGGCCACGTGAGGAAATTTTACATCATTTCGAATTCATTGGAATCTTATTGTAAAGCAGAACCTTACAATCAAGCTTATGATATTCTAACCAAACTGGCTTTTTGATTGCTGAATTTCTTACAACTAGATATTGTTCAAACACAGTCGCACTCACCGACAGTCACTCTCTTTCTCCCACTTGGCATTACCAGTCCCATTACGAAAAGTGAACGTCAGAGATATGTTATAAGTCATTTCGCTGTTGTTGATTATAGTCCAGTAGAAATTACAGACAGGAAACGATGTCTCCTGATATGTTTATTCGATAAATGGATGGAAAACAAGACTTGGTAAATATCTCACTTCGTAGTTGTCAGGTATCACTGGTGAAACTTGTTCGCAGATCAGTGTTAGCCCAATCTCTGGAATCTGGATCTCCCTCCACGCACGGGGAAAAAGTCCTCGATACCTAGCAGTAGTAGGTAAGAGCGGAGAGGTGGAATGTTTTTTACCTGGTATTATAGCCATGTATGCAGGATTCCCAATCGCTTAATCTATTATCTTTGAAGTCTGCAGTGGTGAGTAATGATTGAAATACTAGTTCCGAGTTAGATGCGTTATGTACGGAAAGTATAAACTGAAAGAGAGTTGTATATTGGAAAGTAATCCTAGTTTCCAAACATGTCCTATTTAATCCCAGCAATTTCTTCCGTTATATAGCAAATTTGCACACCATGTGTGCTCTTTACAACTCTAAACTTCTGAACACGCTCCACGAACTACCAGACAACCTGATTCGCCTTTATGTTTCCCTGGCTTTGTTCTTTTACTCCCGGAATCAAAGAGTATTTGTTGAAACCTCCGCGAAAGTCGGTTCCAATAGAACCACATCCAATACCGCCGATGGGCAAACCTTAACTTTATATATTTTTTCCAAAAACCGCGTTTGTTTCAAATAACCTGTGTATGGGTCATGCTGCAGCTGCGAGAACATGTTAATAAATATTTCTTTGTTCTGCAACCACTGCTTCACTGTGTAGATGCTGGCCCTGTAAGTAATTGGTCGAGTGTATCTCAATAAAGATTTTTAACAGATAACAATATTGCTTAGGCGTACCTGAAAAGCATGGGCAGCATCTCCATGACGGTCCAAAATCTTGGAACGAATCCTGTTCTTTCATGCGCCTCCGATGGCAGAGAGTCTCCGTGAATTTTCCATCCGATTCCATCTAGGACTGACGTATCCAGCATACAGCTAAAAGCAGAATCAAGCGCTTTTGTGGTTTTGTTGCCACATAAATTAATATTAATGCTATCAAATAGCTGCTCCGCCTTGTTCTACGTCCAGCCAAAACCGTTTGCTTTTTCAATTTGAATTGTTCGATTCCCCTCAAGGAAAGCTCCATCTTGGAATCTACCATTGCAAACTCTGGCGTCAAAATAACTCTCGACTCCCCGGCGTTTGCATTTTAGATACAAAAAAATTTTGATAGCGAAGTCGTTGTAAAGTGGATCGAATTTTTTCTTTGTTCTATCGAAGTCTTCCATTCAGATCAACAAACTGTACTTGAGATAGGGGACACATGGAAATGTGAAAAAGCGTCCCAATTCTGACTTCGCATTAACCGAATTTACGCAAGGTATGACCGAGATTTTATGCTGATTTTTCAAGC